TTTTCGACGAGTCTCTTGCATACTCTAGATCAATGCTGCATACATCAACTCCTATACATGCTCTAGAATCATTCTGCAAATTGCAAGCCTATCCTGAATGTTCGAGGTAAATGTGTATGATACAGGCCCATCCTGAATGTTCCTGACAAATACTACATGCTCCCTGATTTACTTGTATGCTCCACGCTCATCCTTTAGGTTTCAAATCCATCCTGACTCCTTTACGGTGGCCCGTGGCCTGGTGGCAAAAGCTCTTGCTTCACACTTTGAGGATCCGGGTTTGATTCCGGGAAAGGGGTGGAAACATTGGGCGTGTTTCCTTTCATCTTTCATCTTAAGGACTTGACGCCCATTTGGCATGCTCCAAGAGATGCTGCATGCTGTAGGGCCATTCCGTATGCTCTGGGCCCATGCTCAAGGCCATTCATCCACACTTCAGGTTTACTTTACGTGTCCAATGATAATATTGAACGTTAAGGACCATCGTGCATGCTCTAGGGTCATTCTGCATGATACAGGTCTGTTCTGATGCTTCCAACTTATCCTGCAGTCTCCGGTATCATTTTGCATGCTAACGTTTCATCGTGCCTATTCCATGCCTATTGTATATGCTTCAGGCCCATCCTACAGGATGGATGGATGGATGAAGGCCAATTTTGCATACTCCAGGCATTTCTTTTATTCTCTAGTCCCATTATGAAATCTATAAATCCTTCCTGCATGCTCGAGGCCTGAGCTGCGTTATCCAGTTTCTAACCGCAAGCTACGTTTCCATCATAAATGTTTTAAGAGGTTCATCATGTACGCTCCTGCATGTTACAGGCCCATTCTGCACTCTTCAGGTAATATTGTAAGCACTAGGGTTATCCTGTCATGCACACTCCAGGTACATGGTTCATTCTCAGTGCACATCGTGCATGTCTCAGATGATCATGAGTGCTGTAGACAAGAGCTAAAATCCCGTCCTTCATTATCCAGGCCCACCCTGCATTATCTAGACAAATCCTGCAATATCCAGGCACTTCCTGCATTATCCAGACCCATCATTCATTCTCCAAGTTCATGAAGAAAAAAGGCACACTACCGTGACTGGAACAATACACAAATAACCCGCACTTAAAAGAGGGAAGCTTATGACGACGTTCCTACTTGTACCACATGCGAGCCACACTAACACACGAGTGTGAGGGAGCCAGTATATATAGCCGAGGAGGACAGGGACGAGAGAAAGGAGGAAGAAGGAAGTATAGAGGTATTGGTTGAAGAAATGCTGGTAGTGGAATTAGAAGCAGAAGTAGTAGTGACAGTAATAAGTAGGGGAAGTAGGTTCAGTGGCACAACAGACAGAAGGGGAGAGAAGGAATGCAATAGTAGTGATGGTACTAGCAGTAGTAGTAGTAGTAATGGAGTGGTGGTCCTATTAGTAGAGGCAGAAGTGGAGTAAGTCTACGGATAAGAAAAAGGATCAGTACAAAAGAGCTAATGTCCCACAAGGGGTAGGAATAAAAAAAAACAGGAATGGGGGATGAACTGATGGGCGGAACAGGAGGCGGGACCAGCTAATAGAAGAGCATAAGATGTGAGAGGCACTGAGAGGCTGAGTAGGTTCATCAGGGTGAGGGACTGAAGAAGTCTACAGCATTCCTTCAAACTTATTTTAAATAACCAAATTATTGGTCACAAAGACAAAACATGCTGAGATAAGTGATCAGTGCATTAAACGCTTGAAACAATCAATTTGGCTTCTGATCTGGATAAAAATAGACTAGTGTAAAATATTCACAAATGTTCCTGCTTGTTATTGAAGATTTAAGGAGGTGAAGATTGAGGTCCATGACCAAAACGGGTCTATACAAAATTCCGACAACATTTTTTAGAGACATCTTGAAGTATCTGAAAATTAACATACAAATGTTGGTCTGAAATCATATTTTTTTTTTTCCGACTTCTACTTTGTAGTTTAAGCTCATCAAAAATTCTTCCTCAGCTCCAAGAACTCAATGACACAAGTAAACGTTAAAAGGGAGAAACTATCTTCAGGACACTCATACTCTGACCTCGTAACTGGTCATCGTCTCAATAAGTCTTGCGCCAGGAGACAGCTGTGGAGAAAATTCTCCAGTTGTGAAGGGGGCGATATCCCCCTCTAAAAAGGAGGTAGCTCCTCTCAAAAGGGAATAGTGAAAGAGGGCTACTATCTTTCTCATTCCCAAAAAAACAACTGCTCAGCTGTACGTGTTCATTACCAAGCAACATTGCAAATTGATCGCACATCAGAAACATATGTTAGACTAAGGCGTCATGAGAACACTTCTCTCCTTACAAGAGCATGTGCTCGATTGTACACTAGTGTATAAGTCTGAGGGAACTACTGTTTCACCAGACCATTAAAAATTAGAGATGAATTACCTTGATCTTGATACAATAGTTAGGGGTATTAAGTCACACAGCCCGCATCTAAAATGCAAGTAATCCTTGACTGAAGTCTGTTGCATGCTGGCATCGATTATCTATGTTCCATATGTCAGCAGAATCTTCCTTGAAGGGAGGGAGCAGACGCTGGTAGGACAAACTGCAGTGATTTTTCGATAGGTGAAGATTTCAAAGAAGCGGGCGGTGTCCAGACGTGGGCACCCGTGCCAACTGAAGTCGAAATGCAGAGACAGTTGTGGCTGTTGCGAGTGCATTTCCCATGTGTGTACTGATAATCTTCAGGAAGAATAACGGAAGAGTTAAGAATCACGTAACTCTCCCATGTGCATGAGTGCAACACATCCTTCCTACCACAAATTATTACGGACTAATATGAGTTACATTCGTCAGGCGACGTGTGTCAAGCAGACAACAGAAGACGTGGCCATGAGTATCATACCTTTTCAAATCAAGTTAGCGGTAACGGCTTCAGTGAAGTCACCAGCATCACATGCTCTCATTACAAAATGAGCCAGGTAAGTTCAACCTCATCTTACATCTTCCGTTCAGTACTGCAGTACCTAGGGTTGATGTTAGGGAACTAGGGCTCACGATATCGAGATCGTGATTTACTTTCGATTGCCCAGTTCCGGGTAACTTCAAGACCACAACCTTGAAGTAACCTGGTATTGGGTATTGAAACAGTGGCATATGTAATCTATAAGAATATAATATCCCTTTGTACACACCTTTCAAACAGCCCCGTAGGACACTGACAGCCAACACAAAGGGGATACCCAGGTTGCGGCTACTGGGGATCTGAGCTGTCAACTAATAAGTGCGGTTTTATGATTAAGTATTGCCCCATGTTGTTTTTATTATGTAAACGTCCCTACAACAACGTTATTTCCTAATGAATTAAGCACCACCACATATTTGTGTCTCTAGTCTAACATAAACATTAGTCAGTAATATCAACGATTCTACCTCGGGATAAGTATAGGGGAATCTGACGATATATTAGTGTGAGAACTCCTGTCCATCACCTTACATATTGTTGGTCTCGGATCTTTCAGTTATTCACAGCCTACGAGACATGGCCCACAGTTTCATGAGAGATTTAAGCTACGGCTGTTTGGAATCTTTAGGATGTTCAGCTAAAGTTTCTGGCCTCTTAATGGTTTTGAATTAATGTTTTTGGGTCTCTTGAAAGTGTTGAGCTACAGATCTTTTTTTGTGACGAAGAAGTGATGAAACAAAGACAAAAATGGATCTGTTTAGTGAAGGAAACAAATATTGCTTTACTTTTAATATTAAAGCTGCAAGTCTTACTCTCGCAGAGGTACTGAAGGATGGGTCGGTAGGCGGCTGGTTCAGCAGCGATCCCCAGCTGTATAAAACAGTAGTGCTGAGTATCACGCAATGAATTCCTGTCATCCACTGCCATATTCGCTGAAGTAACCACATGACGACGTTCCACAATATAACACACACCATCAGTGCTAACCATAAGCCGCCTGTACATAGCGATAAGCTAATTTAATATTAAACGTATTAGTAATATATTGCCGCTAAGTTTGAGCTGTGGTAATCTTCACCTTAACCGTTGATAAACAGCCAGCACACAGTACTAGTATGAGCATTAAAAAATACTTTTAATCCTAATTATCATCAGTGTGACAGTGGTGGTCGACTGATGGCAAACTGAAGTATCAGTGTGCAAAATCAGTAAGAATAAGTTACTTTTATTAAGAGTTTGTGTGTTAGCAAACTGACATTTTTTGATGGCAACAAAAAAAATTCATTCTAATTTGATTTTTATAGCTCAGGACTTGCCAAATTAGTAATCATAATAAAATACTGATATATTCTGAAGCAGTTTTTGTGAGAAAAAAAATCAGGCTGCCATTGGTGCTATGTATTAAATTAAATTTTGTTTTTCCTGTAAATGTTTTATTTTGTCCTTCATTTAATTTATTTCATTTCTAATTTTCCAGTGAACGACCTTATAAAAACGGAGTTTGTTATCAAATCCCATAAATTACTCTGATAAGGACTATACAGCATGATAATTTAAAGGATATAATGTACAAGTCTTTTCGAGATCATTACAAGATAAGATAAACTGAGTGTATAGAGCAATACAATACAATACAATACAATACAATACAATACAATACAATACAATAGGAATCCTTAAGAGACTGATATTATTATTATAATCAAGGGGGAAGCGCTAAACCCGGAGGATTATACAGCGCCTGGGGGGGGGGATGTGGAAGGCATTCAGGCTTAATTCAGGGAACTGGAGCACAGATCCAATTCCCTAAATCAAGAGCCCCTCACCAACATTAAGAGACTGATAAAAAAAAGTTTATTGACAGTTTCTTATTACTTAAGATATGGTAAAATGATCTATATAACACAGTACACAAGAAATCTTTCGCAATTCAGCCAATTGGCTAAAAGATCACAAACAGATAAAAAATATTTGAATTATTTCGTATTTGATATGCATTGCAGTGAGTTCTTTAGAACTTGTAAAATTAATAACAAAATCTTTTCCTGCTGAAATGTATTAATAATAATTACTCACCAGTGAAAGGTCGTATTATTGACAGGTGTTGTGGCAGATGTTTGGCCTTCAGTGACACTAAGCTCAACGAATCAATCTCGTATCCACTTACAAACTCCATAACACGCAGTCGCTCTGCTGTTGGTCCTAAAGGTGCACCACAATCAGCCTCCTCTCGTTGAAATTCTCCCAACATACCATTAAATTTACCTTCAGTTTCAGATCCCCAAGATCGATTACTCGTCTCACGAACCTCGATGCTGCTCAGTGTGTACAAGAAATTAGAAATTATAATGCAAGCATGAATATGTGGGGTTTTAATGCTTGAAAATGTAGTTTATATTCTTTGTCAATTTATTTGATGGTTTAACAGTGAAAACATTTCCAGCATGAGGCCTAGCTTCTCCCTACGAGCCCCGTGAGGGCGGGGAATGTGGCTAGGCCTGGGACAGTTGGTCCCAAAGATGAGGGGGTACTTGTACCTCCTCCCATGGGAGACTTAAGTCTCGAGACACTCCCCAGATAGGGAGCCAAGGCCGGGTCACCACTACTTGGAAAAGACCCGGGCCGGGAGAGTACTGGCGAATAAAAAAAAAAAAAAATTCTCATTAATTATTGAAAGATTTTTGTCGTGTACTAAATTAGATAAGGTCTAACCTGCAGTTGAGCTTAAGAGAGATGACAGAAACGAGCCTAGCGTCAACACAATCTCTGTAAGTAACTAGAGAACTTGGCTGGTCACTCAGAGGTTGGTAATCAGAATATGGGAGGTTCCGCATCACAATGAACTTAATCTTGTGACCCATGAAATTCTGAAATTGGTCTGAAGAAGAAATTTTTAATTATTTTTGTTCTTATTCTGTTGTTCAGGAATTTCGTTTACTAATTAAATATAACAAAAAAATAATTAATCACCAACAAAAAATGATTTGCCTGTGATGAATTAAATGCAAAATGCTGAGACTAGAAAGTTTTGCAGCAAAATCTTTAAATTAAAAATTTAAAACGAACGTCTCGATTTAAGAAAAAGATTGATAAAAGCTGGACGTCTGATCAAGAGAGTGGAAATTAGGAGTCAAACATTAACATATAAAGAGAGTGTTATATGGCAGACGAACCTGGTACTATACAGGAACAGAACTGCAGTGTAGGAAGGAGCTGTTGTATATTTTATCGATTTCCTTTTCTTGATAAGCAGAAAAGTGTCACACACACTTATTTTTTTTCAAAACTTTATGTAAAAGTTAATAAAACTTTTCTTAAAAAACTTAACCTTATCATAACAAGTGCAATTTAATTTAGACTAACCCATCTAAATATATTTTAGATAAGTTTCAAATAATTTAATAATTCATTTTTTTTTATTTTATTAACACATCAGTCGATTCCCACCAAGGCAGGGTGGCTCGAAAAAGAAAAACTTTCACCATCATTCACTCCATCCCCGTCTTGCCAGAGTGATGCCTTACACTATAGTTATAAAACTGCAACATTAACACCCCTCCTTCAGAGTGTAGACACTGTACTTCCCATCTCCAGGACTCAAGTTCGGCCTCCCGGTTTCCCTGAACCCTTGATAAATGTTACTCTGCTCACACTCCAACAGCACGTCAAGTATAAAAACCATTTGTCTCTAATCACTCCTATCAAATACGCTCACACACGCTGGAAGTCCAGGCCCCTCCCACACAAAACCTCCTTTACCCCCTCCCTCCAACCCTTCCTAGGCCGACCCCAACCCCGCTTTCCCTCCACTATAGATTTATACACTCTCGAAGTTATTCTGTTTTGTTCTATTCTCTCTACATGTCCGAGCCACATCAACAACCCCTCCTCAGCCCTCTGGATAATAGTTTTGGTAATCCCACACCTCCTAATTTCCAAACTGCGAATTCTCTGCATTATATTCGCACCACACACTGCCCTCAGACATGACATCTCCACTGCCTCCAGCCCTCTCCTTGCTGCAACATTCATCACCCATGCTTCACGCCCATATAAGAGTGTTGTTACAATTATACTCTCATACATTCCCCTCTTTGCTTCCATTTGCTTCCACGGAAAAAGTTATTTGTCTCCACAGACTCCTAAGTGCACCAATCACCCTTTTCCCCTCATCAATTCTATGATTCACCTCATCCTTCATAGACCCATCTGCTGACACGTCCGCTCCTAAATATCTGAATACATTCACCTCCTCCATACTCTCTCCTTCCAATCTGATATCCAGTCTTTTGTCACCTAATCTTTTTGTTATCCTCATAACCTTACTCTTTCCTATATTCACTTTTAATTTTCCTCTTTTACATACCCTACCAACTTCATCCACTAACCTCTGCAACTTCTCTTCAGAATCTCCCAAAAGCACAGTGTCATCAGCAAAGAGCAACTGTGACAACTCCCAATTTGTGTTTGATTCTTTATCTTTTAACTCCACACCTCTTGCCATGACCCTAGCATTCACTTCTCTTAATAATAAACAATAATAACAAACATTCACTTCTCTTATTAATAAACAAACAAAATGAAATATATTTGTTTCGTTAGGTTCAGAAAGATTTTTGCAAAATTATTGCATACTCAAATTATCGCTTGCTTTATTCGGCAAGAAGGGATTTGCTATTTATTCCATGCAAAGAGTATGTAATCTTTATTCAGAGCATGATAACACACTCACTTATGCTGCCTTACCAACCAGCAAACCAGGTCACTAGGGGTCTGAAGATCGGGGCCCCATCGTCAGATTAGTACCTAGGTTCAGCCAATCATAATGTGGATCTGGTAATTGTGAAGGTGATGTGGCTACTACTCATATTTTCACCCTTATCATTTTCATTCTACAGCTGGTTGAAGCACAGTGGTCTGCTCTCTCTTGGCTGCTGTTCTACCTTGATTACCGTGGCATGCACTAATACCTATTGCTGTACATAGTGTATATAGTGTACATACTTCTGTTTATACATGGTGAAGGATAATATAATTCAAAGTTTTCTGCTGTGTTTATTTTGCTCCCTTTACACCCAGAATAACAGGCCTTGAGTACCTGGGTTGTAATACTATTTAAGCCAAAATCGCAAGTTTAACATACCTGGATTACCTGGAGGTTATTCCGGGATCAACGCCCCCGCAGCCCGGTCCATGACCAGGCTTCCCAGTGGATCAGGGCCTGATCAACCAGGCTGTTACTGTTGGCCGCACGCAGTCCAACGTACGAGCCATAGCCCGGCTGATCCGGCACTGACTTTAGGTATCTGTCCAGCTCTCTCTTGAAGGCAGCCAGGGGGTTATTGGTAATTCCCCTAATGCTTGATGGGAGGCTGTTGAACAGTCTTGGGCCCCAGACACTTATGGTGTTTTCTCTTAGTGTACCAATGGCGCCCCTATTTTTAATTCGGGGCATTTTGCATCGCCTGCCCAGTCTTTTACTTTCGTAGGGAGTGATTTCTGTGTGCAGATTTGGGACCATTCCTTCCAGGATTTTCCAAGTGTAGATTATGATATCTCTCCCTCCTGCGTTCCAACGAGTACAAGTCAAGTGCTTCCAAGCGTTCCCAGTAGTTAAGGTGCTTGACAGAACTTATACGTGCAGTAAAGGATCTCTGTACACTCTCTTGATCTGCAATTTCACCTGCTTTGAATGGAGATGTTAATGTACAGCAGTATTCCAGCCTAGAGTGAACAAGTGATTTGAAAAAGATCATCATTGGCTTGGCATCTCTCGTTCTGAAAGTTCTCATTATCCATCCTATCATTTTCTTTGCACTTGTGATCGTGGCACTGTTGTGATCCTTGAAAGTGAGATCCTCAGACATTACTACTCCCAGGTCCCTTACATTATTTTTTTCCGCTCTATTGTATGGCCAGAGTCTGTAGTATACTCTGTTCTAGTTATTTTCTCCTCCAGTTTTCCATAACGGAGTAGTTGGAATTTGTCCAAATTGAACATATTTGTTTCCGTTGCCATGAAAACTTTGTTTATATCTTCTTGGAGTTAACCGCGTCCTCAGCAGATGACAGCTCATGCAGATCCTAGTATCATCCGCAAAGGATGATACGGAGCTGTGGTGTATGTCTCTGTCTATGTCTGATATGAGGATGAGGAGTAAGATGGGGGCGAGTACTGTGCCTTGTGGAACAGAGCTCTTCACTATGGCAGCCTCCGATTTAACTCTGTTGACCACTACTCTCTGTGTTCGATTTGTTAGGAAGTTGAAGATCCATCTCCCCACTTTCCCAGTTATTCTTTTAGCACGTGTTTTGTGGGCTATTAGGCCATGATCACATTCGTCAAATGCTTTTGCAAAGTCTGTGTATATTACATCTGCATTGTGATTTTCTTCCAGTGCATCCAAGGCCATATCATAGTGATCCAGTAGTTGTGAGAGGCAGAAGTGACCTGCCCTAAACCCATGTTGCGCTGGATTGTGCAGATTTTGGGAATCCAGATGATTTGCAATCCTGCTTCTTAGCACTCTTTCAAAGATTTTTATGATGTGGGACGTCAGAGCTATTGGTCTATAGTTCTTAGCTAATGCTTTGCTGCCACCTTTATGGAGTGGGGCTATATCCGTTGTTTTAAGTGACTGTGGAATTTCACCCATGTCCAAGCTCCTCCTCCATAGTGTACTTAGGGCACGCGAGAGGGGTTTCTTGCAGTTCTTAATACATACAGAGTTCCACGAGTCTGGGCCCGGGGCTGAGTGCATGGGCATGTTGTCAATGGCTTTTTCGAAGTCTATCGGAGTTAGGGTAATGTCGGAAATCTGGCATACATTTATGGAGTTTTGAGGCTCATTCATGAAGAAATCATTTGGGTCGTCGATCCTCAGACTGATTAGTGGCTCACTAAACACAAAGTCATACTGGGATTTCAGTATTTCACTCATTTCCTTGTTGTCATCTGTGTAAGTCCCATCCTGTCTGAGTAAGGGCCCGATACTTGATGTGGTATTTGCCTTGTTTTTGGCATATGAAAAGAAATATTTCGAATTTCTTTCAATTTCACTAATAACTTTAAGCTCCTCCTGTCTCTCCTGTCTCTCCTGGTTCCTGTAAGAGTCATTTAACTTAAGTTCGATAGCTTCCACTTCCCTGGTCAGCGCCTCCTTTCGTGTATCAGATATTCTAGCACTCCTGAGGAGCTCAGTGACTCTTCATCGTCTTCTATGGAGGGAACGTCTTTCTCTCTCCAGTTTACTCCTGCTCTTCTTCTTTCTTAGGGGAATATGCCTAGAACATGCTTCAGCTGCCAGGAAGTTGATCCTTTCAAGGCACTGGTTTGGATCCATGTTATTTAAGACATCTTCCCAACATATTTCATTTAGGACATATTCGGCACGACGCACACACACACACACACACACACACACACACACACACACACACACACACACAACACACACACACACACACACACACACACACACAAAGGTTTGCAACAAGACTAGTCCCAGAGCTAAGAGGTATGTCCAGCGAGGAGAGTTAAGGGAAATCAACCTGACGACACTGGAGGACAGGAGAGATAGGGGGGACATGATAACGACATACAAAATACTGAGAGGAATTGACAAGGGTGGACAAAGACAGGATGTTCAGAGATTGGACACAGTAACAAGGGGACACAGTTGGAAGTCGAAACACAGATGAATCACAGGGATGTTAGGAAGTATTTCTTCGCCACAGAGTAGCAGTAAGTGGAATAGTTTTGGGAAGCGATGTAGTGGAGGCAGGATCCATACATAGCTTTAAGCAGAGTTATGATAAAGCTACGGCTCAGGGAGAGTGACCTAGTAGCGATCAGTGAAGGCGGGGCCAGGAGCTCGGACTCGACCCCCGCAACCTCAACTAGGTGAGTACAACTAGGTGTGTAACACACAACACACACGCACACACACACACACACAATTAAAACAACAATCATTAACACTTATATATAACATATATAATCATATTATATATTATATATATTATATATATATATATATAATATAATAATATATATATATAATAATATATATATATGTATATATATACATGTATATGGTACTGAATAATTTACCAAATGCGGCCAGCCGGACTGGATCTTCCACACATTCTCCGCCTGAAGAGAAAATTTCAAATTTCACTAGCCTTAGTGCACTCAACCAGCCTACAAAGATTCATGCACCCTGCAGAGCTAGGTGTTATTCATGATCTAGACAACGTGTAGTGGTAATAGTAGTACAGCATACTGCGTATGGCCGCAGTCACGGTATTGTCTTTTTATTTTTTATTCAATTTAACATGTCGATCACTTATTAAATTCCCAGGATACAAATTTCTATCTTTCGTTTTTCCAAAACAATGATAACTGAAACTTACCAATAAACAGATTTTTAGACAGGTGAAAGAGAGATGTGGGACTCGACTGCTGCACAAGCTGGACGTCCGCCTCCCCGCTGTTACAATATAAACATCTTCGGTACACCCACACATCGCCTCGCACTGGTGATGCAACATACAAGCTTTGATAATTCACACAAACACAAACACATACAGGTAATATATTCATGATTATGTTTTATTAATACGGATTTAAAAATCATTTGAAAGTTACCCAAGAAATTCCAATCTGGAAGTCCCAAAACTTAAATTAATTGATTGATGTGTTTCCAAAATTAATAATTTAATTTGAATGAAATATTAATACGGTTAGTGAAAGAGAAACAAAATTTCTACAAGGTATATTCTACACATAGATCAGTATTTATCAGAATAATCTCTATTTAAGGTATGCCACAGCCCTTGTAGGATAAATACTGCAAATATTTCACTAACACTTAGTTGAATTCATGGATTCGAAACCACGAGAATTTATTACATGATAAGCTTTATTACTGAGCTACAAGCTGCATTTTTATATTACATAAACTATTTATAGAGATCAACAATATATCTTACTATGTTCATAGATAAAATCAACGTCTTATTAAAAACAATTAAAAAAATGCTACGAAGGAGATCGCCAGCCTGCGATGCTTCATATATTTTGTCGGAAACAAGGGTTTAACACTGTTGACATCGGCCATTGTTTCAGACTTCATCGTGAATATCAACCGAAGATGACATAGTGTCAATTCTCTGCATTACATCTTTGCTTCTGGGGAGTGAAGACACATCTAAATTCTGGAAGACTTTCATTCACCTTCCCTAACCTTTGACCTCATACACTCACGCCCCATTTCACCCACCTTTCCTAGTCGGTGTTCCTCCACACCCACGATCCCACAATGTCACAAACCGTGTCAGACTCCCGGGAATCTTCCCGCAAGTACCGCAGTAGTGGCGCTCGACCAACATGCAGCTGCCAGGTGTGCCGCAGGGATTGTGACCTTAATCCATCGAATCCATCATCCTTTCACACAATGAATATCTAGGATTCTGGAGGCCTCCTACTGGGAAGAACCATATGCCCTTCCCAGCAGAGAGAGAGCTTTACCCCAACACAGGACTTAACAACTGCTATCAAATATAACATCCACCACAATGTTACACACGAAAATGACTCCTTACGAAAGCAAACGACTCAGCAGAAGATGCAACATTCCCCCAATGAAAAGCAGGGGCGCCACGATTACACTAAGAGACAACACAATAAGAGTCCGAGCATACATAAAGGGGATTACCAATAGACCCGTCTTCAAGAAGGCACTGGACGGGCACCTACAGTCAATACCTGATCAACCGGGCTGTGGTTTGTGTATGTCGGCTTACGTGTGGCCAGCAGTAATAGCCTGGTTAATCAGCTCTGTTCCACCACGAGGCCTGGTCTCAGACCAGGCCGCGGGGGTGTTGACCCCAGAAACCCTCTCCAGGTATACTCCAGGTAGGACGCTGTAACTTCCTTAAAGCAGCTCGCCCTACAATTGCTACCAAATTTACTGATAATTAAAGAAAATCAACAATACCACATCAGTCACTGGATCCTAGCACGACCTCCTGTTGTTTAGTAATGATTGTCTGTTTGTCCCAACCTGGAAGGACAAGTCTCTAGCAACATCTGTTATTAGGGCAATAAATGAATTCCCAAGAAATGTCAACATTATCGGTCTTTCCTCTAGTGCGATTGTGAGGGAAAAGTTCAATAGATAGGAGTAGACAGGGAGCGTATAGTAACAATAGTTTCATTGCCGGCTACTTGTTAAGGTAGGGTAAGTCCAGCTCCCGCTATTCCCCCCCCCCTCGTTTTTTCCCCCTCCCCGAAAGTGATAGTTTGATTGCCGGCTGCTTGTTAAGGTAGGGTCAGTCTAGCTCCCGCTATCCCTTCCCCTCCCTCTTCCCCCCCCCCCGAAAGGTGATGTGTGGGGCTCCGGTCAAACAGTAAATCACTCGACTCACAGCTCCCAACACTACTGTAAGTACACGCCTGATCATATTTTAGTGGACTTATTGGTTGAGAGCTTCACTTTTGACCAATAATTAACTTAGTCCTTTCAGTCTTTATCTATTAAATGTTTTAATAATCACCAAATCTTTTAGGTATTGTACTTATTATGGAGAGTGATTTCTTAAGCAGTGGGTAATCTCTCTTTACAGCTTGGAATGACAGAGAGGATCACCTGCCAACCAACGAGAAGAATAGGAGACGGACTAACGTCCTGAGACGTCCCATGTTTAGTCTACTTACCTGTTATGTAAGCCAACACAGGACCTAACCCCTCATCATAGCAGTGGTAACGAACCTGTTTTCCTGTCATCTGAAGTAATTACACACGGCTATACTCTGTGAAGAACGAGCCAGTGGTGGTCACCAACACCTGCTGCTACCCCCTCCCCCCCCACATCAGCAACGGCTACGATTTCAACAACACTCAGTGCCACCAACACCTGACACCCCATTACCACGATATACCTACATTACCGTTGAGCTCAAATGTAATTTTTTTCATTTCATTTTTCATTTTTCTTTCAATTAGGATACCCATTCATGTTTTATTGTTTTACATTTTCCGTTTCTAAAGTGTTTATCATTGTCTGTTATTATTTCTTTTTCTATTCATTAATTTTCCTGAGGAGGAGCCAGCCTTGTTAATACTGACTGAAGTTGTTACAGGGCTGAGTAAGCCTTCACAGCGATAAACACCATCGGGGACATACAAGCAAATATAACTTACGGCGAGTTCTACCCCTACTTTCCATTACTGATTTATACACCTTCTAAGTCATCCAATTTTACTCCAACCTTTCTAAGTGTCCAAACCACCTATGTCAGTAATATGTACTCCAACCTGTACTCTCCATTGTGTTCGCCCCTACTGCGTCCTTTTGACCGTTACTGTGTCACCTGACACGCCACACAACTGGGCATCACGGTTGCCCACGGCGAGTCATCTCCCAACATCACTCTGCAAGAATCTCTCAATACCTCTGGATAATATTTTTAGTTACCTCGCACTTCCTTCTAATAAGCACTGAAACTAAATTGATTATTCCAAATGACTAATAGGAGGGATCAAGTTCCTAAGACCGAAACATATTCAATATACGTACCTAAACTGTCTTAATTAACTGTATGCATTTGTGTCCTGTCATCCATATTGTCAATATCGCTATATCTTGCACCTTCACGAACCTTTTAGTGTAAGGCCTCTTCTGAGGCGAGCAAAGTGGTGTCGTTGTGGGTCGTGGAGGGTGAGATTATGATGGGAAAGATCGTGGAGAGTGAGATCGTGGAGGGTGAGGTACAGGGCATTGACAGTGTTGCGGAAACTGTGGTGGAGAAGCACGTCCTTTACTCCATCCTCCTACCCACCACCACAACCACTGTCTCTGGTAACATCCATAAACCTGCCGCTTCCAACAATCTAATGAGGAATTATGGTATAATGTACAATATAAACGTTTACACAGTGTTATTTTGTTATAAATTTAATTTTTAAGTTTACGAGTGTCATGAAGCATGGAATAAGTTGGAAGGTAACACACATACACAACAGTTAGGCAACTTTATTCGGAATAAAGTTGCCTAACTGTTGCCCATATGTCTTACCTACCAACCTGTTGACATTCTATACCATTTTGACATTCACCCCCATGGAATAAGTTGCAGAAGACTACGACGCAAGCAAAATTTTTAAATAAATTGTCAAAAGAGGGATTCCTTGGTGCTGAAGAACTCGGATTCAAAGAATTGAAGCTATCTTCTCCCTGAGTCAAACTTGTCCATGTCAAAGGTGCTGTTTTACCCCTAATGGAAAGTTTACTACTTCCTCGTTTAAAGCAATAATAAGACTGGTCAACAAAAGCTTCAGTTTACGTTTAAAATTTTGTGTTTCTTAGTTTTATTGAACCCTCACCCTAATTACTTTCCAATTATTTTATTATCTACTCATTGCTTGGTCATTTAATGTAAGATGATTAATGGTTTAGTTTGATTTTTGTGAATTTATTAGATTGTTTAATCACTAATGAATGGAATAATTTGTCTTTGTCAGAGGAAATAATAAGCCAATAGTGCGTCATGGTTTTGCTACAACGATAGTAATGTATTTCATTACATAGGTGGCAGCTTTACCCAAACAAAGTAGAGATGAAACAGGTCAATCGTCGATCCAAAAGACATACTTCAATCACCTTTGTACATCAAGCTAGGCCTCATTTAAGAACTTCCTCAGAACTTTGGATAAAGAAGTTGCAGAATTTGCCTGTCTGAAGGAGAGGATTCCCACACTTAGTGATGTCACGATAATGGTACGTATCTCCATGGGACATCAAATTCGGAGATTACCAAAATATCCTTATTTTGACGAAAGTCTCCAAGAGCTGAGCTGAAACTAAGGGTGTCATTCACGAACACTTGCCTAGGTTACTTAGGCATTCAGGACAGTGATGATTACAGAAATATTTTAGAAGGGCTGTTGACAGCCCTATTGGGATGTCGGATGTCCATTAGGATTCATTACCTTCATTCTCATTTGACTTCTCGACGCGAAAAGTTGAATTCCGTTAGAGAGATACACAGTGAATCATTCACCAAACTTACGTATCATGGAAAAGATATCAGGAAACCAAACATCAATTTGACTGGCCCAAACTGCTGAAACTAGTGCGGATAGTAATGCTAAACACATGGTGAAAGATTACGTAAACAGGTGTGATATTATATATTCATAGATATATTACTATCATTTACTTTATATATAAATTTATATATATAAATTAATACTATAATATACATATTATATATGCAATAAGATATCAGGTAAACAGGTGACTTCAAATTATGCAACATAGTTCCTGGATATTGTGAGTAGTCACGAAACGCTTGGAATCTTATTCTTAACAGAGTGGTATTTTTGCATATATATATATATATATATATATATATATATATATATATATATATATATATATATTATTGGTATTGATCAATAACAACACTGCACTAGCTAAGGACTCGAACTCATGCTGCTTTGCCTGCCTCATGGTGGGTGAAAATGCATGACGCCCTAATCCACTGGACCGTACGATCCTTAAGAGTAAGGCATCCAGCGGAACTGGATGCGGTACTCCCTACCATATATATATATATATATATATATATATATATATATATATATATAATATATATATATATATATAATAAATAACACACCACTGTAAAAGAGTAGTGAAATTCCAAGCGCTTTCGTGACTACTCCTTGACAATGTGAGTAGTCACGAAAGCGCTTGGAATTTCACTACTCTTTCACAGTGGTTGTTTTGCATATTTTAAAATCACCTGTTTACTGTGATCTTACTTGCAACAACACCACACATATATATATATATATATATATATATATATATATATATATATATATATATATATATATATATATATATTCAACAAGTCGGCCGTCTCCCACCGAGGCAGGGTGACCCAAAAAAGAAAGAAAATCCCCAAAAAGAAAATACTTTCATCATCATTCAACACTTTCACCTCACTCACACATAATCACTGATTTTGCAGAGGTGCTCAGAACACAACAGTTTAGAAACATATACTTATAGAGATACACAACATACCCCTCCAAACTGCCAATATCCCAAACCCCTCCTTTTGAGTGCAGGCATTGTACTTCCCATTTCCAGGACTCAAGTCCGACTATATGAAAATAACCGGTTTCCCTGAATCCCTTCACTAAATATTACCCTGCTCACACTCCAACAGATCGTCAGGTCCCAAGTGCGATTCGTCTCCATTCACTCCTATCTAACACGCTCACGCACGCTTGCTGGAAGTCCAAGCCCCTCGCCCACAAAACCTCCTTTACCCCCTCTCTCCAACCCTTTCGAGGACGACCCCTACCCGTCCTTCCTTTCCCTATAGATTTATATGCTTTCCATGTCATTCTACTTTGATTTATTCTCTCTAACTGACCAAACCCCTCTTCTTCCCTCTGACTAATGCTTTTATTAACTCCACACCTTTTCCTAATTTCCACACTCCGAATTTTCTGCATAATATTTAAACCACACATTGCCCTTAGACAGGACATCTTCACTGCCTCCAACCGTCTCCTCGCTGCTGCATTTACCACCCAAGCTTCACATCCATATAAGAGTGTTGGTACTACTATACTTTCATACATTCCCTTCTTTGCCTCCATAGATAACGTTTTTTGACTCCACATATACCTCAACGCACCACTCACCTTTTTTCCCTCATCAATTCTATGATTAACCTCATCCTTCATAAATCCATCCGCCGACACGTCAACTCCCAAGTATCTGAAAACATTCACTTTTTACATATTCCTCCTCCCCAATTTGATATCAAATTTTTCTTTATCTAAACCATTTGATGCCCTCATCACCTTACTCTTTTCTATGTTCACTTTCAACTTTCTACCTTTACACACATTCCCAAATTAGTCCACTAACCTTTGCAATTTTTCTTTAGAATCTCCCATAAGCACAGTATCATCAGCAAAAAGTAACTGTGTCAATTCCCATTTTGAATTTGATTCCCCATAATTTAATCCCACCCCTCTCCCGAACACCCTAGCATTTACTTCTTTTACAACCCCATCTATAAATATATTAAACAACCATGGTGACATTACACATCCCTGTATAAGACCTACTTTTACCGGGAAGAATTCTCCCTCTCTTCTACACACCCTAACCTGAGCCTCACTATCCTCATAAAAACTCTTTACAGCATTTAGTAACTTACCACCTATTCCATATACTTGCAACATCTGCCACATTGCTCCTCTATCCACTCTATCATATGTCTTTTCTAAATCCATAAATGCAATAAAAACTTCCCTACCTTTATCTAAATACTGTTCACATATATGCTTCAATGTAAACACTTGATCTACACATCCCCTACCCACTCTGAAACCTCTCTGCTCATCCGCAATCCTACATTCAGTCTTACCTCTAATTCTTTCAATTATAACCCTACCGTTTACTTTTCCTGGTATACTCAGTAAACTTATTCCTCTATAATTTTTACAATCTCTTTTGTCCCCTTACCCTATATATAAAGGGACTATACACGCTCTCCGCCAATCCCTAGGTACCTTCCCCTCTTTCATACATTTATTAAACAAAATTACCAACCACTCCAACACTATATCTCCCCCCCCCTGCTTTTAACATTTCTGTCATGATCCCATCAGTTCCAGCTGCTTTACCCCCTTTCATTCTACGTAATGCCTCACGTGCCTCCCCCACACTTACATTCTGCTCTTCTTCACTCCTAAAAGATGGTATACCTCCCTGGCCAGTGCATGAAATTACCGCCTCCCTTTCTTCCTCAAAATTTAAAAGTTCCTCAAAATATTCTCGCCATCTACCTAATACCTCCCTCTCCCCATCTACTAACTCCCCTACTCTGTTTTTAACTGACAAATCCATACTTTCCCTAGGCTTTCTTAACTTGTTTAACTCACTCCAAAATTTTTTATTTTTATTAAAATTTCTTGACAGTGCCTCTCCCACTCTATCATCTGCTCTCCTTTTGCACTCTCTCACCACTCTCTTCACCTTTCTTTTACTCTCCATATACTCTGCTCTTCTTATAACACTTCTGCTTTGAAAAACCTCTCATAAGCTACCTTTTTCTCTTTTATCACACCCCTTACTTTATCATTCCACCTTATATATATATTTAAATAAATATAGGGAGGTACCACCTCTGTAACTGCACTGGGGACCCTCATCCTCAGAGAAGACAATAAACGTACCTCAGCGAAAACTCAAGGTTCTCCCCGGAGCTGTTTGAATATTTTCTTCTCCTACCACCCCCTATATTTGTTTGACTGTATTGAAATTATTTATATATATTTATATATAATAAATTTAAGAAAAATTAGCTTTAGTCATTGCATGCACTATACTTATTATCTATGCATTATATAATTCCTATAATTATTAGGTAACATGTATCATGTGGGTCAAACGCAAATAGCCAAAATATTGATTATAGTGTTTCAAAAGTTTTGTTTTAACTGATAACGACTAATTAAGCTCAGGTTCGTGATCAGTGTTTCAAAGCTCGCCTAAGCCAAGTAATTATACACAAATAACACGCACATAGAAGAGAGGAGCTAACGACGACGTTTCGGTCCGACTTGGACCATTTACAAAGACACACTTCTATTTACGGGGTATTTGTGTACTGTTCCAGTCACGGTATTGTGCCTTTTTGCTATTTATTCAAGTAATTATGTTTCTGAACTGAATAAATGACAAATCTTGTAGGTTAGTGTAATTTAAATATGTCAAAATATCATTTATAATACGTCAATATGTCATTTATAATAAGTTCCTACTTGATCATTTCAAATTTTTATTTACCACTGTTAATGTTAATAACTTTCAGAAAACAACAACATATATGAATAAATATTTGACAAGAAGAGGTAATTAATTTATAATGATGATGTGTTAGAATAGTATGATAGCATAAAAATATGATAGAATATCATTATTAATAGGAAAAATATTGCATCATTACTTTAAAGTGTATAAATATTCAGAACAGATGAGAAGACTCACAAGTAAGGACCCACTAAAGGTGTTTAAGAAATACGTAAGTTTCCCCGTTATCTAATAATATGTTTATTTTTCCACTAAAGTCTACTTTGTCCATAATTTGCTTTGTCTTTTTCGTAAGGTGAAGTCTAGGATCTTTCCGTAATTCATATAATAACTTAAAAAATCTTTGAGAACAATTGTATTGTAGAGGTCTGAGCTTCGCTCTAACCTCTACGACACAATTGTCCTCAAAAATCTGTTAAGTTATACCATGAATTAAGGAAAGATTCTAGACTTCACCTTACGAGAAAGACAATGGAAATGCGAGTGTAATTATATACAAGGTAGATTATAGTAAGAAAACTGAACGTCTTATTAGAAGACGGGAGGTATTTACGTGCCTCTTAAGCTAAGAATTACTTCTAAATATTTTCGTAGTATATCGAAACCAGTCCTAGGAAAGATATATCATAGGATTAAAATTTGAAGGTTAAAAGGAAAAAAATCTCACACCAAAAACGAATGTTAGGGAAATTTTAATTTAATGAAAAATCTTAGATGTCTCCTAGAGATGAAATGAAAATGTGCTGCATGATTTTAAGTAAAATATTTTTAAGGCAAAGGTGGAAGATACTCATTTCACTTAAAATCAAAGGCAAATTCATCACAGAATTTTATACTAAAAATGATATTGTCAAATTTAAGGCACATCTGTTTCTGTTTTAAATATTACCTAAGAGTGAGATCGATACTATAGGTGATAGTAAAGTCGAGAATGAGTCCCCGGCAGGTAGTTTTGGTGTCGCCCCACAGCATCTTGAGGAGATGAGTCTGGGCCAACTGATCCTGGTAGAACATCAACCCTATTTCTGCTACAGCGATAGGCACAACACCTTCATGTAGGTATCTAGGGAACAGATATATACAATTTTACCAAGCGTGCTCAAAGAATAAGATAACAGGTTACAAAAATACATGAGAAAAAAACCCTAAATGTACTTGAGAGATCAACATACCTGGACCAACACCTTCACTAATACGACTGAAGAAATGTGATAAAATTTAGATTTGTTAAGGGTTTCGGTAAATACAAAATAGCTTGAGAGATTTTTTTTTTGGATTCTCGAAATATATATCATTGAATTTTATTATGAACGTAAGGAACAATTATCGTTTCATGACTTTTGTGTTTTCTAATTGTATTTTTTTTTTATATTTAACATACGAATAGGTGAGCAACACAATAGGACTATTGGCTCTTACTAGGTTTGTTACTCCAACTCTTAAGTTCTATTCATTCAAATTACTATTGTCGGAAAATAAATTCTTAAAGATCCTATAGATTCAGATTTATTGGTGGTATTTTAGACGCTATTGTCCGTAAATTTGCTCTTTCCTATGCTCACTTTTAATTTTTTTTTTTCATATCCTTCCAAATTCGCCCTCAATCCTCTGCAACTCTTCTTCAGAATCTCTCAAAAGCATAATGTCATCAGCAAAAAGCAACTGTGACAACACCCATTTTGTGTCAGGTTCTTAATTTTCAGTCTCACACCTCCTTCCATTACCACTGCATTCACGTCTCTTACAACCTCTTCTATGAATATGTTAAACAACCATGGTGACATGCATCCCTGTCTAAGGCATACCTTTATAATAATAATACTAATACTACTAATAATAATATCTATATTTCTACAAGTACATGTACAAGGTATACAGACCAATAGCTGACATCAATGACATGACTACTACATAGAAATCCGCTTGTTATGCTGAGCATTTCCCGCAAATTATGTCAGTTTTGTCCCAGGATGTGACCCACACCAGTCCACTAACTCCCAGGGACTCGTTTTTTACTGATGGGTGAACATTCACAACAGGTGTCTTAAGGAAATATGTACTGATGTTTTCCAGCCGTACCGGGGATTCAATCTCCGGACCTCAATGTGTGAGCTGAGTGTGCTAGCGATAGAGCTACGGGACACCTGTAAAACTGTAAAATAATCTCCCTCTTCCCTACATACCCTAACATGAGCCTCACAAACCTCGTAAAAATTCTTAATTACTTTTAGTAACCTACCACGTATTCCATACATTTACAACATTAGTCACATTGCTCTTTTATCCACCCTATCATATGCTTTTTCCAAATCCATAAATGAAACGAAAACCTCTTTACTAAGGAAATTTTCTATTTGGTCCCTTGTGAGATGCTCACTCTGACAGTCACTGTTGACACAGGTAACCCAACACTCCAAAAGTCCCAGTCTCACATGTGACCCTTAGAGAACACTTCCTTCTGCAGGAAACTCTTATCTGCATGCACAAATTAGAACTGACTTACTTGGCTGTGGACACTATGCTAACTAGAAATCCCTTGATTCTACCCAAGCAATCTGAACTTCTATGACCTCTCTCTGACTTCAAGATGCCACGAGCACAGAAGGACTGACTCCTGTAAATATTAGTATCTCTAGCCTGCCCCTTGAGGGGTCCCTGAATTCAATGGGTATCCCCTATTCAGTATTTATGCAGTCTGAGACACTAGCTTCTGGACTAATCTTTAAAAGGAGTTACACTGCAATTTAACTCTGTTTTTGGTCTTTTGCTCGGATCGTAACCCAAAGCTCAAATTCTCTACGTTTCCCCGGGTACCGTTGGCCAACAAATACTAAGGGAGTCTGGGAAGAGACAAATAACCATAGTTGAAGGGAAGCCTCTTCGTTTTCCAGGCTGGTATTTTGAAGGCTTGATGAGTTGTTCTCCCCACTTTGAGCAATCTAGTTCAAGAAGAATGGACTAGTACTCATCAGGCTCCGAAGCAAACTTGCTTGTACGAGGTGCCAGCTAGCACAATTTACCTAGTTTCTTTACTTAATGTAACCTAATATTAATCTATATTAAGTCTATGGCTATATTATTAATTCTAATATTAGTGATTAACAATTTTAATGTACCTGTTTCATTCTTATATGTGAATCTATCAGTTAGCGCATATAACCTTACGATTTTCTCTTCGTATTCTTACATTTTCCATGGTAGTATCATTGCTTGGGTGGGTGTTAAGGGTTCCTGTGACTGCTGCATCCATCAACTTGTTTACAAACGAATCCGATCGGTGGAATTTCTTGGACTCAATGATTTCCTCATTTACTCTTATCTAAATACGGTTCACTTATAAGTTTTACTGTAAAAACTTCGTATACACATTCCCTACTCTTCCCAAAACATCCTTGTTCATCTGTAATCCTGCTCTATGTTTTACTACTAATTCTTTCAATAATAACTCTACTGTGCACCTTAAGAGGTATACTCAACAGGCTTAATCCATTACAATTTTACCTTACCCTCTTTCATACATTTATTAAGTAAAAGCACCAACCACTCTAAAAGTATATCTCCATCCGCTTTTAACATCTCTGTCTTGATCCAATCAATCCCAGCTGCTTTATCCACTTTTATTGTACCCATAACCTCAGGCACCTCCCTAACACTCACACATAGCTTTTCTTCACTCCTAAATGGTGTTTTACCTCCCTGCCCAATGCATGAAATCACAGCTTGCGTCTCTTAATTAACTTTTAACAGTTCCTCAAATATTCTTTCCATCTTCTTGATGCCTCCATCTCTCCAAATCTTTTCCATATTCTCAGCAAAATTTGTTTACAGCACATCGTTCTCTTTTTCATTATTTCTCATTTTACGTTCTGTTACCAGTCTCTTAGCCTCTTTTTTTTATCTATATATACTAAGACCTTATATAATTTCTCTTTTGCAAAAAATTCTCATTTTCTAACTTTTTCTCTCTTACCACTCTCTTTATATGATCATTCCACCAATCGCTCCTCTTCCCTCTCACGCCCATCCTCCTATATCGAAAAACTTCAGCTAAACACTAACCCTGCATATACTTAAATCTACCCGATACATATTCATCCTCATTACCTGTTCTCTCGCTAGCAAATCTTTCTACGAATAGTTGCTTACACCTTACCTTAATTACCTCGTTTAGTTTATAATCTTTTGCCTCTTTCTTACTCGTTGATGCCATTTGTTTGTGTTCCATCTTCCTTTCACTTTCAGTGTATCTACAACTAAAAAATAAACTGATTTATGTTGCCCCTACATAAATGTGCCCACCCTGAGGTCTACCAAACAGCTTTTTACCCACCAATACATAATCCACCAAATTACTGTCGTTACGCCATGTCACATCTCGTATATTTATATGGAAAAAAAGGGACAAGAGTGTGTGAATAATTAGGTAAACAAACTTGTTAAGTCTATCGGAAATACAGTGTACGGTATAATTATTATTAAAAAAAATAGGTTGCATTTAATTATTTAGAAAAACTATTTGAAAGGATGGAAAGGAGACCAATGTGGTAGGTGTTAAAAATGTATGGAATAGTCACTGCTCTGTGTTACTAAAACAGAGAAGGTTAAGATAAGGTTAATATGTAGAAGTAAGTGAGAGTAATTTTCAGTATACGATGGTCTCAGACAAGGATGTAATGTTACTGTGATTGTTTAACATATACATAGATAGGATTGTAAAGGAAGTGAATACTTGTGTGTTAGGAAAGTGTCGAAATAAATGATATGCGAATTAAATACTAAATGGAATTTTCACTGGTTCTCTTTGCCGACGACACAAGTTCACAGCTGCTACAGCACCGAAGGACAGTGAAAGTGATTACAATATAATCAATGATCTGCCGCACATAAGAATATTTGTTAGTTGAACAATCAATGACCTATTGTATTTAAGATTAACAAAGTGCCTACTGTTAATATACATACAAATTCATTTATTTTAAAATATAATCTGGGTTTCATGGACATAAAGAAACTCTTTTTTCTCAGATGTTGAAATATTATAAATAAATTCTTTATAAAATCTTTGTATTATTGGCTGATGGTGCACAGGTGACATACAGTCTTCATCTTTCTCTTGTAGTCTATGTTTCTTAGTCAAAGTACATCAAAAAACCTGCT